AGGAGAGGAGAGGAGAGGAGAGGAGAGAGGAGAAGCGTCCTGTCCTGCCGTTCCCACCTTTTGGGCTGTTGATCTCCATTCCTCTCCCCTTGCTCCCTGCTCCTCCCCCCATCCCGCGATTGCTCAAGGTGACGTGCTGGCCTTCCTCGTTCACTGGAGAGCGCCGGGCATCAGGGAGGGGCAGCCTGTCTATCTTGATAACCACCAGCGCGCCATTTTCAGTATGTCGATCCTCCCAGGCCTTCACTTTCGTGCGATGCCGAACGCAATGGTCGTTCATCCTGATGTAGGCATCCGAATGTTGAAAGCGAAGGCTGAGGGTAGGCCAACGTTGCCCGCAAACATGTTTCGTTTGAAACGAATGTGGAACACTGGTTTAGAAGCGCAGCGTGTAGGGAGCGTGCTGTGCGGCGAATCTGATTTGTGTTTGTATTGCTCGAGGGGGCACGATCACGATGGGCCCAGGGGCAACCTGTATCGTTGCTGGCAATGCTTGCAATGCTTTCACGATTGTTGCTCGGGACTTCTGCGGGATGCCCTGCCTCATTTCGATTGGCGCGCAGTGGAAGTGCCCGCAGGCGCAATGCCAGTGTTCCCTCGGCCAGCGCTGTGCCATCTATGTCTCAGCGAGTATGCATGAGCTGCATGAACCCCCAGTTGGGCTGGGGCCCATTTATGGGGGCAGGCAGGGATGGGGGATCTTGTAAGAAACGGACAGGGAACTGAAGACGAGGATCGCGAGAGGATAAGTGGGGGCGAAGGAGGAAGGAGGAGGAACAGGGTAGGGTGAACAAGCCATCCAGAGTCTCACTAGTTTGGAAGCTAAGTTGTCATGCTGATGTTGCCCAGGGATCGCAGCGTCAGCCAGCACTGTCTCAGCCTGTCAGCCAAACGATCCACTCATGCACCCTTCCCCCTGTTGGCCCGCGCTTGCTCCTCTCTCCGCCGCCTGGGGGCTCCTCGGCATCGCGAGCTCGGTGGCCACGCTCGGGGCCGTCAGCAGGCAGCCCAGCAGCTGCCTCCCCGCCAGCCCCTTTTCTCTCTCGCCATGCTGCTGCCGCTGCAATCATAAGATCATTGACATTATTATTGGCGTCGAGCAGTATCTCTCATCATCATCATCGTTGCAATCGCCAGGATTGTCAGCAACAGCGTCTACTTCGCATCAATATCGCCGCTAACGCTGGCATCGCCACAACCAATATTAAGATTGCAATGGCCGCTATCCCTGCATATCATATCACTGCCGCCGTCGCAGCGTGTTCTGTCACAACAACACAATACAAAACACGTTAAACATAATGAGCGTCATCGACTGCTATGGCTAGTGGTTGCAACGCAGCAAGTCTACAGCTCTGGAGGGGAGACAATACATTGCATGATGCAAGCAAACATCGATCATGAACTGAGGTGGTTCACTACAGACCCCCCCCACCTCTGACAAAGATGGTTCACTACATACCCCTCTGACAGGGATGATTCACTACAGACCCCACCCTGATCAGGATGGTTCACTACAGACCCCCCCTGACCGGGATGGTTCACTACGGACCCCCCCCTGACCGGGATGGTTCACTACAGACCCACCCTGACCGGGATGGTTCACTACGGACCCCCCCTGACCGGGATGGTTCACTACAGACCCCCCCTGACCAAGATGGTTCACTACAGACCCCCCCCCTGACCAAGATGGTTCACTACAGACCCCCCCCCTGACCGGGATGGTTCACTACAGACCCCCCCTGACCGGGATGGTTCACTACTGACCCCCTCCCTGACCGGGATGGTTCACTACAGACCCCCCCCTGACCGGGATGGTTCACTACAGACCCCCCCTGACCGGGATGGTTCACTACAGACCCCCCCCTGACCGGGATGGTTCACTACAGACCCCCCCTGACCGGGATGGTTCACTACAGACCCCCCCCCTGACCAGGATGGTTCACTACAGACCCCCCCTGACCGGGATGGTTCACTACAGACCCCTCCCCCTGACTGGGATGATTCACTACAGACTCCGCTCCTTCGACCGATATGAGGCACCGTGGTCTCCACCCGCAGGAAGGAGCAACAGCCAGCGATTCGATCAATGTCTTGTGAATTTCTGGTGCTAATTTCTGTGGGCTGTGTGCCATGTCCGTAGCCATTTTGGCTTAATTATGCTGAATTCGTTTTGTTTTTGACTCGTTGCGATGACGCAACCACCTCCGCAACCGACTCCAATTCCAACAGTTCGATCTTTAGACGATGCACAACGATGGGTTGAACATTGCCTGGGTGTTCTGATTCGTCAAGATCCTGGGCTTAGCCTGCGTTCGATGGCTCACTGCATGCGCCAGACCACCATTTCATCAGCCTTCAGTGGTACAGGTGGCGGCGAGAACGCATACTCCGCATTGTCACGCGGAGTTCATTATTTTGCTGGGTTGCCATTCGAGCGCGCCAGGTGCATCTGGGCATGCGAACTCCTCCAAGAGTCCAGGAACGAACTCATGATGTTGGATCGGCCTCCAGAACATGTGTTTGGCGACATCTGCGACTTCATCAGGCCGTCTATCAGAGGCACGCTCAAGCAGCATGCGCCCACCATGTGCTTCGAAGATTTGGTGCGGATTTTCATTCATGGTCCAGTATCGCAGCTTGCAGACCGCGGCAGCACTTGCGACGTACATCCTGATTGCGCGTGCTCCTGCACGCGGGCAACTATTCACATGGCAGGCACCATGTGCGTCGCGTGGTCGAATCTAGGGCTTCATCTCGGCGCTTCTGGCGATGCTGTGTTAAGTTTTTTTGTTTGGCTGCGACAAAGGCTTGACCTTCAGGAGGACGGCGTCCTCCACGAGAATGTGCCGCAGTTCGCTGTGAAGATGTTCGAGCAGTTCTTCTCCGAGCACTACATCGTGCACTCATGCGTCGTGAAGGCCACCGACCTTGGCCAGCTGGCGAACAGGGAGAGACGTCTGACTTGGTTACAGCACAAGCGCACAGTCGTCACGCGTTTGGTAGCAAGCCCGCCATGGGGTCAAGGATTCGCGTCTCTCTTCAACCGCAACTTGCAGACCACTTGGCACGACTTGATGGTGGCACAAGAGCCTGAATTGCTGGAAGAGATTGCTTCGATGACTGGTCGCCGCGCTGGTGCACAAGACCCAGCGTACCTCGCATCTCGGCCAACGCAGCGTGTTCCACCGATGAATCGATTCATGAGCTGCCTAAGCAATTGGGAGCTCCAGTTTCTTGACAAGTATTACCAGCTTTGCCCGAATGGCGTTGCGTTCCTGAGGTTCTCGCCGTGGACTTACCCATCCCACAACGAAGGCTCCAAGACCATGCTGTGCATCATCAAGAGCCCTGGGCTGTACTGGAGCTTTCCTCACGGCAGGTGGCTTACCACCCGCGAGCTTCTCCTGGCCCACAACTACAACACTTACCAGCAGTACTTTGGCGAGACCACGTCTTTCAGCAAGAGCCGCGCCTCGTTCGGTTTCGGCGCCAGGTCGAGGGTTATGGTCAATGAGCAGGTTGGCAACGGCATGAGCTTGTCAATGATGGGCCTTGCCATATTATGGTGGTTTGTTTTCCAGAGGCTGGCCCAGCACCCTGCCAGCGGCGATGGCAATGATCCAGATGTTGGTGGATCTAAGGGGTCTTGCCTCGCCAGTGCCATTCTCGCCGCCAGCACGCGACGAAAGCGCAGTCGTGCCACTCCGGCGTAGGTGCGGGCACAGCGCGGCGCAGTGCGGCACAGTCAGCACATGCATACACAGACAGCGTCCAACTTCTCATGGAGACGCTGCGCGTCGCATTGGGGAGACAGTGGCTGTGCAATACAGTTGCTGCAGCGCGGCAGTGCGTCTGAACTAAGCTGATGAGGGGGATAGTGAGGAGATGCGTTTCGAGGGGGATCAAGGGCTTCAAAATAACGGGGGCCCTCTAACCAGCTCCGATCACCAGAGGAGGATTGGAGGAGGAGGAGGAGGAGGAGGAAAGGATGAGGAGGGCGAGGAGGTGGAAGGGTGAGCACCCAAAAAATCAGCCTGAGGTGGATGAGGCCGAGGCCCAAGGAGGAGGAGGAGGAGGGAAATGAAAGATCGAGGAGGGAGGCAAGACGAAGTTGCTGCGTGCTCTGCGTACTCTGCCCCTTCTGCCCCCTCCTCTGGCTGGCCCAGTGGCCTCGTCCTGCAGGTCCAGCAAGCGGCGTGCCGCAAGCCCCCGACGGGAGGCAGTCTCTCAGGAGGTCAGAAGGGCAAGAAAAGGAAAGGGAGGACTGAAGAGGGCGGGCGTAGGAGGATAGGGGCGAGGGGGGAGGAGAGGGGAGGAGGAGGAAACTTCGGAGGAAAAGAGAAGATATGAGATGATTGTAATAAGAGAAGAGAGGCACGCAGATATGAGATGAGAAGGGCATCTTGCTGCAATCCAGCGTCTGGTGCGATTTCCCCAAGAGGTAAACCAAAGCTAGTCTCGCCAATTAGCCTTGCCCCGCCATCTTCTTCCCTCCGCCTCCTGCCCTCCTCATCTTCTCATCCCCCGCCTTTTTTGTCCATAGCACCTTTGGGCTTTGGCATTGCCCAGTGGCCACTGGAGTGGCCTACAGCAGTCAGCACACCAGCGCACGCCCTTTGATCAGACTCGTCAGAATCAGACCCGCCTGACCAGACTCGATGCCGGCGCCCAAGGCTTCTCCGCCAGCGTCTCCTTCTGTCCCCCCGAAGTCTCTCAAGAAGGGGAAGGCGAGTGCGAAGTCGAAGGCCGCCGCGCAGGGCCTCTCGTCTCAGCCGAGCGACCCCGCATCGCCGGCGCCCAAGTCAGGTTCGAAGGCGCAGAAGGCCGCAGCACCAAAGGCGGCAGCATCGGCAGCAGCAGCGGCAGCAGCCGCGAGCGGGGCAGCGGCAGCAGCAGCGGCCGCTCCGGTGGCGAAGCAGCCGGCCCAGCAGGCGCAGCAGCCGAAGCACGTGTCAGTTGGCGGCGGTGCATCTTCATCAGGCAGCCACGCTGGCGGCATGATGGCTCCGCAGATGCATATCCCAGTGCCGAAGGCCGTTCCTATGCCCGGTGGGTGCGTGCCTGCTGCGCTCGAGTACGAGGGGCAGGCGCTGCTCGACATCTTGGAGCGCGACCCCAACGGCGTCATCGCGAACGACATCCTCTACGGGCCCCGCCTCAACAGCGAGCAGCGTTTCAAGGGGATCCACGGGGCTATTCGCTATCGCCTGTACCTGAAGCACTACGCTGTCGATCGGAACGCGACGCTCTTTCCATTCGTGACGGCGGCCGCAGAGAACCAGCCGCCCAGGCCATTGAAGAACTTCGAGGTGCCCGAGATTAGCGCTGGGGCCGGCGGTGGGACGACAGCTGTCAGGCCGACCAGCCATCACTGGGGGAGCTGTGGTCCTTACCGTCCTTATCCTTACCCCCCAGGGGGAACCCATCGCATCGACGATCTCCCGAGAGTGGTGTCGAAATCGATGGGTCCCCCAGGGGGGTAAGGGCGGCAAGGAGGTAAGGACCACAATTGTGGCTGGCCTGTCAGGGTGCTGTCGCGGCATCAGCGCAACAACCGCAAGCAGACGGCGGTCGTGGTGCAGTACAGTCAGAAGATCTTGCAGGAGGGCGTCTACAGTGACTTCAGGGGGAGACTCCAGGCTGTCCAGACTGATGTCGACTACAAGTTTGCCATGATAGGAGGTGCGACGATGGTGGAGGCGTTCTATCATGGTTTTGAGCAGGAGCCCACCAACGATCACATCGTCCAGGTCATTCTCAACGGGTTCGAGGGCGCTACCATCTGGGGCCGGCGCATGCCGAACGATTCAATCGACTGGTACAAGTCGGAGGCGAATCGGTGGCACCACGGCTCCACATACAACTTCATTGAGAACCTGCGCGACATCGCGAATGCCGAGGCACAGTGGGCGGCCCACCGCGCCACCCACAACATCTCAGTGCGGAGTTGCCCGACAGCGGGCGAGTTCAGGCACGAGAAAGTGTACGAGCGCTTCATCAAGGAGAACTTCCCTCAGAAGTTCAAGAACTGGATGCACTACGACAACATGAAGAAGGCTGTTCACACTATGATGTCCAACAACGCGCTGTCTTCGTTCACCTCCTTCGCCGAGGAAGAGTGCGACTTTACCAACGCATCGCTTGACAACTCGGCGGTGGCGACCCTGCTGATGGAGGTCACGCAGCTGTTCGAGCACAACTTCAAGGGCTACATCTCCAAAGAACTCTACGAGGCATCTCTGCTGGAGGCCACGAAATTCGTCATGCCACTCCTGCAGAAGCCTGGCCGGATCGACGTGCAGTGGATCATGCGCGACCACTCGTCCAGGAACCTCTTCCAACGCCTGCTGTGTCCCATGGCGCCTGGCCTGAGCAAGGTGCACATGAAGTACGAGAAGGACAAGAAGAAGAGGGGCACTGACGCAGGTGATGGTGCTCCTGCGGCGAAGAGGGCGAAGAGCAAGAAGGCCTCGCAACCAGCAGTCCTCACCGCCACTGAGGACTTGGCCAGGGCCCCCGACGGCAGGGACAAATACTTCCTCGACGACCTTTGCGCTTGCGTCGACTTCCCGCTGAACTTCCTCGAGAAGGGCGACATCGACTGGGATGCCGTCGGTCGCGCGATCAGCATCGGCATGACCTTCTGCTTTCAAGGGAAGGTCGAGATCAACGGCAAGGACAATCCTCCTCTCCCCGCTCCTCCTCTTCTCTTCTCCTCCTGTCCTCCTGTCCTCCTCCTCCTCCTCCTCTTCCTCCTCCTCCTGTTCCACCTCATCCTTTTCCTCCGACCCCCTTCCCCTCCTCTTTCTCCCTCCTCCGAATCACGTTCCCTCCTCTGTCACTTCATCGGTCCCCCCTCGCTCGTGATCCCCCTCCCTCCGCCCTTTTCTCGCCCAACTTCCCTCGCTCGTGCTCTCGTGATTCCTCCTCCTTCTCTCCTCTCCCTCCGCCCTTCCTTTTTTGTTTGCGAATCCTCTCAGGAGTACGACGCGTGGTCCAACGTGCGACCTGCTGTGCAGCAGGAGGTGATCAAGTCCCACATGGTCTTCTACAGGAACTCGCTTCCGAACGTGTCAGCTGATGCCTCTTCGAGCGAGGTGGCCGACGCAGTGACTGCGCGTTTGGGTCACGAGGATGGCGTCCCCCTCCAGACATCTGCTGTCGCTGACAACCTCATCCAGACTAAGGTTGATTCTATCATCGGTGCGTTCAACAGCCAGACCTTCATCTTGGGGGTGACCACCTTCGCTAGCATGAACAAAATGAAGAGCAAGCCCGCCCTCCAACCAGCTTTCGCTAATATCCAGCATGAGGTCGGCCGGCGGATGAACGACATGGGCTGTTCCGTCGATATCATCGACTCCCACGTGCCCTTGAGGACTCTCCTCTTCGTAGTGTTCGAAGTGTGTTCGACGGTGTTTCCCAAGGGCATGTTCCACTTCATCTGGGGCGTGGCCGCGCTGTCTGCCGAGGAGCCGCTGGCGCCGCTCAGCGCGCTCTCCTACGGGGCCATCGCCGACAGGGAGTCGCTCCAGGCATTCATTCGCCTTCGGGCATCTTACCTTCGAGAGATCTTGAACACGATGGCGAGCGGGCCCTCGCGCCTTACGACGGAGGACTGCACTGCGCACGTCTTCGAGATCACGAACCGCATGGACGCCATCGGGATGATGGACTGCTCGCAGATCACCGGAGAGCAGTGGGTGAATAGCCACTCCAGCGTGAACGCAGTTTTCGTGGGCACCTACGACGAGGAGAAACTCGAGACAGTCCTCCTCAAAGCTGCTGCGGCCACGTCTTCTGCTTCTTCCCCTTCGCACGTGGCGGAGTCGGAGTCGCCGCCGACGCCAGCGCCGGCTGCCGCTCCAGAGACTCGTGGCTTCCTTGCTGCGGCTGCTGCGGCTGCTGCTTCTGCGGAGCCTGAGGAGGAGGACGCGACGGTCTCGATTGCAGCCCTCAAGCTCAAGCTTCACCATTCATCTGGAACCAGCGGGGCCGTCATCAAGGCCTTCATCAAGTCGTTGGAGGCGTGGTTGCTCCAGCAGGTCAGTGGCATCGTGGTGAGCGACGACGGTGAGACCTTCTTCAGGCCAGACGCGCGCTTGGACAGCATCAAAGTGAACCCCAAGGCCAAGCCGCTGAGGTTGATGGCCGAGGCTATGCCCAAGAACTTGCGCCTGAATTTCTCAGGCCGCGTCGTGCAGATGCCAGTTATCGGGAGTTTGCCATTGTGCCAGGCGTTTGGCGTCCACTTCTTCGTGGCCAGCGGCAGCGAGTACGACAACCTTGACAACCCCGACGCTCTGCAGATTGCCTGGCTCGTGAAGACTGCGACGAAGAGCGCGGCAGTCACCATGAGCGTCGTCAAGTCGACAGTGCCCTACGAGTTCGTCTACAACGCGGGCGTGCAGATCAAGGTCGTGACCGACGTGACGCTCCACAGCCTGGTGCCCGATGCAGACTGGATCGAATGCAACACCGAGCTGGTTCGCCCCAAGATCGACGCGATGATCACCAAGGAGACCGCGCCGCCAGCCAAGGCGCCCACTCCCGAGCAGGTCGCAGCCAAGGACCTGAAGGACTTGAAGGGTAAGTGGAAGCCCTGCGCCCACCTCTTCAAGTAGGCTGTTTGGGCCTACCAGCGCCAGGGCAGCCACTCCTGCTCGTGTTAAGGGTCAAGGGAGGGATCAGGGGAGTCAGGGGAGGATGAGGATGAGGATGCAGGACGGAGGATGAGGATGAGAGTTCCAGAGTTCCAGTCGACAGGTCGACAGTCGTCCGCCCTGGGCGTGCTCTGCTAGTTTTGGGCCATGTGGGTTAGGTCCGACTAGGCCGACCTGCCTCTGAAGGCGAGGTCGGGGTCGCACGCCAGGATCTTTCGACGACGCTGTCGACTCGTGACGAACAGGTTTCTTTTTCGCTGGCCGCCTGACGCTGTTGTTTTGGGCCTTGCGAGGCCCGTAGTGCTGCTGATGCTCTTGCTCGCTCTCGCTGTCCACCAATCGTTTGAGAGTTTGAGTTTGAGCCAACTAGGACAGCAGCTGATTCCCTCCTCTTCCTCTTCCTCCTCCTCCTCTTCCTCTTCCTCCGTCCCCTTCCTCCGCCTCGAACTCCTCCTGGCCCACCTCATCCCCTCTCACGCTTTAGCAGTTGAATCTACGGCACGTTGGTGACAGAGAGAGCGGACCCACTCAAAGGGCCGCTCGCCGCTCGAGCGCTCGAGACTCGAGAAGGTCGACTCGTCAAATCGTCATCGTCACCCTCATCTATCATCTATTCATCGTCGCGTCAGCGGTCCAGGTCCAGAGTCCAGGGTCCCAGGGTGCATTGCGACTGACAGACTGACAGCGACAGAGAAAGAGAGAGAGAGAGAGATAAAACGAAACAAAAAAAAGGGAAGGGAGAAAGAGAGAGAGAGAGAGAGTCCGCCGGCCCGCCGGCCCCGCTGGCGGTCGAGTCGACCGAGCAGGCGGCCAAGCGCGGCGCGGGGGGCCCTGCCTCGCGTCTCTTGCCTTTCTCTGCTGACTCCTCCTTTTCCTTCCTCATCATTCTCCCTTCCTCCTCCCTACTCCCCTACTCCTTCCTCCTCCTCCGTCTTGTCCTCTTTCCTCCTCCCCGTCCTCCCCCCTCCTCCTCTTCCTCCTCCTCCTCTTTCTTCTACTCCTCCTCCTCCTCTTCCTTCTCCTCCCCGATGCTATCTGATTATCCCCTCTCCCTCCTCCTCCTCCCTCCTCGAGGGCCCCGACAGCCCGACGGCCCGACAGCCAAAGCTATTCAAGATACCCTTACGGTTTTCATCGAATCCCAAGGTGATCGATACAGTTTCAAGTCGAAGTCGATGTGATTGGCGAGGCCCGTGGCGGGCCATGGGGACGGTGGTTTGGCTTCAGCACTCATCCTACTCCCTCCTTTTCCTTCTCCTCGTCGTCCTCCTCCTCACTCCTCCTCTTCCTCCTGCTCCTCCTCCTCGAAGCCACCGTTGCTATTTTTGGTTCAAGCCCACTTCGGTGGCGCTTGGTGGTGTTTGCGCTGCGTAACCGCAGCGCCTTTGGATGTGGTCGTGTCCGCGTCATGTGACCGCGGCGCCTTCGGTTGCAGCGTTGTGTTGGCGGAGTGCGAATCGCAAAACCCTCCTCTCCTCCCCTCTGCTCCTCTGCTCCTTCTTCCTTCGGCGATGGCGAAAGAAGGCGGTTGCGACGTTGAGACAAAGACGATGACGACGACATAACGACTGTGGCGACGACGAACGCGGCAACGAACGACGGTGAGCGATGCCGAAGTGGCCGTTCGGAATGGCCCCCACCCTCATTCACTACACCCCCCTGGCCCCTGGGGGCTTCAGTTCCAGCGTTAGAAATGCTCATACCCAGGTGGTGCTGCTGCTGCTGGTGCTGGTGCTGGTGCTGGTGGAGGTGGTGGTGGTGGTGCTGGTGGTGGTTGTGGTGGTGGTGTTGGTGCTGGTGCTGGTGCTGGTGCTGGTGGTGGTGGTGGTGGTGGTGGTGGTGGTGGTGGTGGTGGTGGTGGTGGTGGTGGTGGTGGTGGTGCAGCGGCGGCGCGGTGGTGGCGGGCGGATGGGCGCGCGAGAAAGAGGCCCGCGCTGGGGCGAGAACGCCATCCTGAACGACGGAGGCCAAACACCGATCCGAAAATGAGGCCCACGCTGCGGCGGGAGCACGATTCGGAACGATTCGAGAGCAGAAATGAGGCCGGTGCCTCAGCGAGAGCAGCATTTTGGAAAAAAACGCAGGCGAAAACCCAACTCCCGGGAATCCTGTGTGCAAAAAAAAACAGTACGCGGGGGGGGGGGTCGGCTACTTTCAGGCCGCCATCGGGGGAAGAGGGAGAGTAGTATTCATATTGAGTAATTGTGGAGGGGAGGGGAGGGGAAGGGAGGGGAGGGAAGGAGGGGAAGGGGAGGGTGAAACAAGGAGCAGCAGCTCAGCCCGGAGCTGCAGCTCAGCTCAGCGGACATGGATGCACCTGGGCCCCTCGGGAACCGAGCGTGCGTGTCCGCGTCCACCGCCTGCCGAGGCCCCCGGAGGTCGATGCCGCAGGCGGTGCCCGTGGAGAAAGGCCCGCTTCGGCCCTGGGGGGCCCGTCTGGCCGCTCACGGAGTGGCGTGCCTCCGCGCCCGCGGATGCATGGCCGCGCTGCACGCAGCAGGTCTAGGGGACGCACAATGGCATACTAGTACTGTGTGTCCTCCGTGGAGGCGTGCGTCCGACCGAGCATCTCTTGTAGTAGATCGTTTCCCGGACGGTGTGGCCAGAGAGCGCCCGCCACGATACTTATACTGTAAGATGCCTCGGTGCGCGCGTCTCTCCTGGGGGCGCGCCGCACACATAGCATTAGCACGATGAGGTGAACGCCGAGTCTAGGCTCGCGCCCGGGCGAGTCCCCGTGCTGCTCTCAAGAAGGGCGGGCTGGCGAGCCCACTATGGCGCGGCCCGGTGCCCCACACCCAGCCTCTTCTATGGAGCTCCTCCTCCTCCTCCTCCTCCTCCTCCTCCTCCTCCTCCCCCTCCCCCTCCTCCTCCTCCTCCTCCTCCTCCTCCTCCTCCTCCTGGAGCATCAAGAGAAGAGGATCCCGCAGAGCTGCGCCCCAGCTCCCCGAAAGCCCTCCCCTCGCAGCCACGAGAAGACCACGGCCACCGCCCGCGCCGCGCGCACTCTCCAGGCCGGGGGTCGGGGGGGGCCCCCCGTCCACACCCCCATTCGGGGATGGACAAACCTCCCTTTAGTAAAACGTGGTTTAGTGAAAACGACTTCGGGCCCAAACCTGGCGGGCGCAAGCCTGGAAAATAACGGCCACGGCGCCCTCTCGAAAACCGAAAACGGACAATTCACTAATCGACGTGTCACTGTTGGGGGTTCTGTCCACCCCCCCATGCTGCCCCTCCGATCAGGCGAACGGTCGCGGGGAGCTCCTCGGAGGAGCTCGACGTATGACGGGGGGTATGGCGACACCAACCCCCGACAACGTGGGATTTTCGGCTGGACGAACAGCTTGAGGCCAAACCCGAGGATATACGATTCGCGGGCGCCCATCCTCGATAGGGGTGCGACCGCATAGCCCCCCAGGGGTGTATCCCCGAGTTTCCTCCCTTTCGGGCGGAACTCGGGGACTGAGGTCGATGAGTGGCATGCGAACGTATACACCACGTCGCTTGGCCAGCCGAGGAGTCCAGCAGCTCAGCAAAGGCAATATGTCTGCATTTGCTCCAGCGCCCCAGCGCCCCACAGGTGAGGAGGATGGGGCGCCCATGCACTGCGCTCCTTGGCCGACCCGACTAGGCGTATCCCTCGAGCCTCTCCCAGTGGCGCGCGAGGAGCGGGAACAGCTCTTGCAAAGCTTGAGGCGGGCCGCCCTCTTCTGCGCGGCGGGCTTGGGGTCCGATGGGGCACCCGCGGAACGGCGCACGGGCAGCTGTCCTTTGACTCTCCCGCCTCCCTCTCCTCCTGGTCCACGCTGGAAGGCGCTGTCTTGCTGGGTGCACATGTTCTCTCCTCGCGGAGCGCTGGGCGCCGCAGCGTCTCATCGGCCTCCTCGAGAACCGCGGGGCCCTCACAAGTCTCTGGGGGGGGGTGCAGGAATTCGAGGTGATTCAAGGCTCCTGCTTCGTGGCAAGAGAGGTGGCCCATGTGCATGACTTTGCGGCTGCACCTCGCTGGAACCGCCGCGCGCACGCGCGGAGGGGACTTGGCGGCCTCTGGACACACCTTGCCGCTGAGACCGTTGGAGTCCAGGGACAGCTCCTTCAACGACGGGTGCGGTCTGCGGTCCCTGCGCTGGCGGCGGCGAGGGGGGGCGGCCGAGGAGGAGGAGGAGGAGGAGGAGAGGAGGAGGAGGAGGAGGAGGAGGAGGAGGAGGAGGAGGGGAGGAGGAGGGGCGATGTGGGCGAGCACCGGCAGCGCGGCGGCAGGGCCTGCAGAGCGACGGGCGCGGGGCCCGCCCGCTCGGCCTGCGGAAGGCGGCAGGGCACTGGGCTTCGGTGCCTCCTCCTCCCTCGTCCCTCCTCCCCTCCTCCTCCTCCTCCTCCTCCTCCTCCTCCTCACTCGTCTGCTGGCAGTGCCTTCTGAGGATAGCCCCCCTGAGGGACAGCGGACTTCTCTTAGGCCCTGGATGGGATTTCGTTCCGGAACCGAAGCGGCCCAGATTAGGGGAACGAGCAATGACATAAACATGAAAACTCGGAGGTCCGCGCGGATTTCTCGGATCGGCGCTGGACCCCCCGCCCGAAGCGCCGCCAAGGGGGCCCCAGCGCCGATCCGAGAAATCCGCGCGGACCTCCGAGTTTTTATGTTTATGTCATTGTTCGTTCCCCTACAGATCCCCATGCCCACCAGCGTGGGCTGGGCCCCACTGGCCGATTCACCCCCCTGGATTGGGCTGTAGGCTGCTCTCTTCGGGTTTCGAGGGGCACGTCCCCACCTGAGGTGGCGAGACGGTGGGGCTCGAGATGTGGCCGGGGATGGGGGCAGGGATCGGTGAAACGATACTGACACATGCCCGGCGCAGATCGGCACGCCGCCCGCTCAGCCCACCCCTCGGAGCCCGTGGCCCAAGCGCCGTGCCCGCTTAGCGGGCCCGACCTTACGGGGCGCAAGTAGAACACCGCAAGTG